GAAGCTGGACTCTATGAAGAATGTGGAATCAGGACTGGAGGAAGACTCACCACCAACCAAGCTACACTGTATCGATGATACAACGTTGCTTGCTTAAAGTGAGGACTTGAAACACTTACTGCAGATGCACAGGGTCCAGGACCAGAGCCTTCACTATGGCTTATATCTCCACAGTCAGAAGACAAATATAGACACGGTGAACAGAGCTGAGGCTGAGGCCGTCTGTGGAGACGACGTGGGAACACCACATGCTTTCAAATTAGGAGAGCTGTCCAGCAGGGCTAAATCCTTTCACTACACTTATTTACTGTGTGCTGAGCAAATCATCTGAGAAGCTGGAGGAAGACCCCTCAAGAATCTGGGTCCTGCAGGTGACACACCTCGCTTACTCAAAGTGAGGAGGACCTGAACATGTATTGCCAAGACCAAAGACCAGAGCCTTCAGTACGGATCACATGTCGACATCCAGAAAACAAAACTCACCACTGCGCCTAGAGGCAAGAAGCTACGCTGCAATCCCAAAGGTGCGTGGTTCGAATCCACCAGCTGCTCTGAGGGAGACGTATGGGCAACATTCTCCCATGTGAATAACTGCCTCTGAAAATCTGCCAGGCTACGGGTTGGTTTTGATTCGATGGTACACAACAACAAAAACAATACAACCACTGGGCAAACAGGCAACATCATAATAGATGGAAAAAAGACAAGAAGTGGTCAATAATTTCATTTTTCTTAGGTCCACAATCAGCACTCTTGGTACTAGTAGCCAAGAAATCAAAGGTTGGGTTGATTTGGGAATATTCGCTATCAAAGAGCTTTCCAAGGTGCTTAGGAACAATGGTCTTTTCAATTACTTGCTATCCATCTGAAAGTTGGACAATGGATGACAGCAAAATCAATAGTTTTGAGCTGTTAGAGAAGAGTACTGAATATTCTGTGGACTGCCAAAAAAACAAACAGATACATCTTGGAGAAAGTGCTCCTTGGAGGTAAGGAAGGTGATGCTTCGTCCCACTTATTCAGGGCACGTTGTTAGGAGGGCCTGCACTTGGAAAAGACATCCTGCTTGGGAAGGTGGAGGTCAGCAAAAGAGAAGACGACCCTCTGGGAGATGGCTCGAAACAGTGGCTGTAACAATGCTATGAAGTGTATCAGAGATGCTGGGGATAGCACAGGACAGCACAAGGTTCAGACCCATTGTTCATCCAGTTGCTACGATGTGTACTTGACTTTGGACGTGACTTGACGGTACCTAACACCACAACTACACTCTGTGCAATGGTTGTCACGGATTGAACTGTCGCTGCATGAAGCGCTGTAGAAATGGGCAATAACTCATAGCAATGCTCTGAACAACAGATCCACACCTGCTGGAAACTCAGCTGTGAGTTGGTTCTGACTCAACAACACGTAGCAACAACACAGGAGTTCAAGATGACTACAGTAGTGAACAACTCAGGAAGAGTCGTTCACTCCCTCACGACGCTTAAGTCTAGAGGGAGAGGCAAGCACAGAAGCATGTAAAAGGAAAAGATTGAGTCTGAAAAACTACCTGCAGATGATCGTTGTTGATTGTTGTTGTTAACTGCCGTCGGGTCAAGCACAACTCATAGTGACCCTATAAACAAAAGTCCTAAAGCCTTTCAATAACTATTCCTGTTTCTCCAAGTTCCTAGAAAAGCACTGGAAGCAAGAGTGGCATCCACTTCCTAAACAACATGCCTCTGGACACTCTATGAACTTGGAGAAGTGACCTGCAGAAAGAGGCATCTATACTGAAACCTGAAAGGTAGGGTGTTTTGTAAGAAAAACATGGAGTTTTGTAAGAATACTCAAAAATCCTTATTGCAAGAATATTCTATGCAAAGGCAATGGCGAGGCCCTTTCATAGGAACAGCTTCTCCTAACAACATGCTCCTCTGGTACTCTCTGCTTTCAGCCAAGAACAAACAGGTCTGTCCTAGAGAGGGTGAAACCAAGCTGTCCCTGGAGGCAAGGACTTTGAAGCTCCAGCTCACATGCTTTGGGCACATGGCCAGGAGGGACCAGTCGTTGGAGGAGGACATCATGCTTGGAAGGGTGGAGGGACAGCACTGGAGAGGAGGACCCTGGGATTGGATGGATTGTCACAGTAACTGAGTCAGTGAGACTGGCTCAGGATTGGGCAGGGTTCAGAGCTGTTGTAGATAGGGTTGCTATGAATCGCAGGCAAATAGACAACATGTAACAAGAATACGCTCAAAGTATATGATGTGAGGCGTTTTATCATCTTCGGCTCCAAGGAGCACTCTGGCTGCACTTTCTCCAAAGGAAAAACGGAGGTGCGTTCTAACAGAAACCAGGTACACCCGAAACCTCGGGTCCTTAGTCCTCCTGTTAGATGACCTTTTCCTCCTGTCCATTCTGAGGAAGTCCATTCTAGGGAAGTCCATTCTAGGGAAGTCCATTCTAGGGCCAATCCTGGTCAAATCCTAGTAAAACCTCCACCGTGGTGTCCTCCCACTCTAGATGGACCCAGCCAACTTTCTAAATGGCCTTCTCGTGCAGCTTTGGAGAGGGACTTCATA